CCTGCCATACACAGTGGCAAAGCATGGAGTTGAATCTATTGCTTTCTCTTTGCTTGCTATAATCACAGTTTATTAGAGGACACAGTTGGTGTAGAGGCATGTCCATGTTCTGTCTTCTGGCCTTCCTCTTGGGTGCCCTGGATTGAAAAACAAATTGCGAGGGAGAGACAGAGAAACAAAATCACCCTGTGAGATTAAAAGAGGGAGATGGGAGATCCTGGATAATATCTGAATTCCTTTGAAGTGAAGGCTGAGTAGATTAGGGAAAGTGTAATTGAATTAAAGCCACTCTCTTTTGGAGTAGATATACTTTTACCCTGGCTAAGCAATTTCCTGGTTCAGTTTTTTACCCCTTTCGAGCACCTGCTCATTTTGGAGGATGACACTCCAGAGATTATTCTGAGCCAGTGCCAAGAGCCAGGGTTTCTTACTCCCTTCTCGCCCGCCTCCACCCCCTGCACTGCTCTAGACACACACCCCAATATAGAATGACAGCACGTTGCCACAGCTTAATGACACTGCCTCTGCCTCTTCAGAAAGACAAGTCCTCCAGAGAGCACCAGCTACAGCAGCTGTCAACCCTTGCATTAAACGTCTTCATCATGGCGTATAAAGCAGCACATTTGGCCTTTAAGTCACGCTGGGACAAGACAGATGAAGAACTCTGTCGGCACAGTATGTCCTTCATTTTGCATAAGGCAATCCGAAATGATTTCTTTCAGAGTTACCTTTATCTGCTGGAAAAGCTTCCCTTGGGTGAGTAGCTGGTGGGCAGGGGTGTCTGTGTGCGTGTATGACTGTGCTTCAGAAAGACCTATCACATTAGATGGTAGAGATGACAGTAAGTAGTACTTTTCAGAAGCCCAGCTAGAGAGACTAATTCAGTACTCTCTCTCTCAGCTCCCTATAATTCAGTACCCTGTTTTTTTACCTAAATACTCCACAGATTGTTTGAGAGGGATGAGGGAAAGTTTGAAAGTAAGTTTGGTTTCTGGCTGACAGTTCCATTTTTTGTCAATATTTGACCTATTTGGAACTTGGAAGGGCAAATGCAAAACTAGCACAGCTGAAAGGCCTTACTTTCTGTTTCCCAATACCTGATTTGTTGTCATTCACTGTGTCCTTTGCCTTGTACTGTTTTGGACAGATGCTTGAAAGGTAATGATTTAATTTTTTTAAGAGTTTTTGTAATCCCAATCTCATGCAGCAGGCTGTCTAACCTACTGTTTGCTATCTGGGAGAAAGATGCTTCCGAAATGTTTGTTTATAGCCAAATTTCAGTGAAAGCCTCTGGTTCAGGGTGCCAAGACACTATTTTTTAGATGCAGAAAATGAATGTTCATTTCATATGAAAATTTGCCTCTGAATAAGAAACAAAATTTCTGCAGGACAATGTAGCTAAGAAGTAGATTTTACTTGAATCTGTATTATGCTAGCATGTCACTTTTTGAGCAGCATTATTAAGACTCCACTCAATGTTAAGAGCTGTAGGAATTTAAAGTGGAAAGGATGTGTCTGTGCAACCTGTTACACTGCTCTTCATAGTGAATAATTGAATGATCCTTATAGGCAAGTGAGTTACCTTAACCTGATTGTGTGAAACTTTACAGACCCCAGTGAGAACTCTGCTCAAGATGGTAGAATTCATGACTCTGGTAAAAAGGGAAAGCATTTCTGTGCTAAAAATTTCTTAGAATTTTTATGTGGGTTTTCAAATGCAGCAGTATATGCAGCTATTTAATATGAAACCTGGAAGATAAAATACTCCTATTCCTAGTGGTAGGTAGCTGTGAACAATGGAAAGGAAGAAAAGATGGAAAGGAAGGGAAGTCAAATATAGGTCGATGGAATCTCAAGAAGTCTGTGAAAATGTTATTCTTTCATTTGTTTTGAAAATAAACACAACATAGTAGAAACTGAGCAGGATTTCCTACAGTGTTAGCTGTTCATGTAAGTATTAATAGATCATTTTAAGGCCACAAGGTGCCATTAGAAGCATCTAGCTTAGAATTTCATGTAGAAGTTCGTGCATCATGCTTGTAACTTTTGACTGGGTCACTGTGCATATTTACAAAGACAAAAATACTTTGATTTATGGGCTTGAAATGGCTGAGAATCCATCAGTCCATCAGGCTGTTTCTAGGCCTAATTGCTTCACCATTTATTTTATTTCTTGTCTGAATTTTATTTGAATTTCCATTCCTAGCCAACAAACTTTGTAAAATGTTCCTATCAGAGTAAAGATCCTCTGTGACAGGCTTTTCATGACCTGAACCATTAAAACTTCACTAAAGAGCTTATAAGCTTATTGCCAACCTCTCCAAATTAGTTTGACTCCGTGGAAAAAGAACTCAAGGCCAGCCTTCACATGAACATGCAGTGTGTCTGTTACTCCATGGTTATTGTCATGAAGTAAAATTGTGCATACAAATGGGTACTGTGAGGTAGCTTGTGCACTGCGAATGCATATCCAAGAAACTTCACGGTGTGCTGGGACAGCATGGTCTGGATGGGTGGACAATCAGATATGTAAAAAGTGGTTTGGTGATCTGGATCAGAAATTCGTGGTGAAATCCTGAGGTCAGTGGAGGACCACAAGGTTTATCCTGTGATCCAGTGCTCTCTGTGGTGGAGAGGACAGAATGTAGCAGGTCTGAACGTCTCTGTGCGATGAGATTTTCTCATTCAGTTCAAAGTAGAACTGAGCAGAAATGAACTGAACTCCTGAAGCTACAAGACTAGACCCAAAAACATCTGTGTGAACAGTATTAAAAGACTAAAGCAGTGCTAAGACTGTGACCTAGCAAGGTAGTTAAGTGTGTGCTTAACCCTAAACATGAGTAGTAATACTGAAATCAAACCTCACATTGAAACTTGCAGCTTTGTCCAAGTAGGCTGAAAGTTTCCTTCAGGTGATGCTAACTCCACACTTCCCTTACTCCATTGCTAGGTTTAGGGGTGGGGCACTTAAGCATGTTTACCTATGAGCTGAGCATATCTGGGATCACAGCCTGTTAAGAAAAACACATCACTTTTAGAGACCAGGGTAACATTTCTAAATAAAAGCCATGAGTAACCTTAGGCCCTGATCCAACAACGTACTTAAATGTGTGTGAATGCCCTTAAGCCCAGTGGACTTTAACAGAGCTACTCAGATCCTGGAAATTATGCCTGTGTTTACATGGGCTGTGGGACTCTGTGCCAAGGGGGTGAGATCTGCAATGGAAAACTGGGATGGTGGGTCCATGGAGACAAATATTCCCGTGTGTGAGGCACGTGTCTGTACGTAAAATCTGCTTTGGGCATGGGCTGATGTTAATCCTATATAAAACAGAATTTAAATAGTTCTCAGACCACAGTAAAAAGGTGAATTCTACCCTGAACCCAGATAACTAATTTTAAACTGATGCATAAAGCAGATGTTGCATTTAAAAGGGAATGCTCAGCCAAACTGGAATTAGTTCAGTATCTTGCAGAAAGTAGTTTGAGCCACAAAATAATGTTCACAAATAAAAACTTCAAAAAAATTACTTGCAACATTTTTACTTCTGCCATGGAAATTTAGCTGAGTAAATCCTGAAACCAAGAACTGTAGGACTGCAGGTTAAGATTGCACCAAATCTTAGGCATTGAATGATCCCATTTCTCAAGAAATTTAGATCAAATGCAGTAGGAAAAATAATTTTGACCTGATCTATAAGAAAATATTAGAGATAATGTTTTGGATTTTGCAGGGCAGAAGGACTTAGATAGATACTCTCTGTCTAGTCCAGGGGCTGGCCTGCAGCTGTAGGTCACCACTCTCCATCCAGACTGTGTCTGCAGTTAACTGACTATTATTAACGTCTCATGACTGTGGAGTGACCTTTAGTGAGCTAGTTTCTGTTCTCAGCCTGCTTTTGCAATGGGTTTGTTTAACCATCTCCACTTGGGAGACCTTCTAGCAGATTCAGCTGAGAGACCAAGTGTGCCATGGAAGAAGTTTCTTCTTACTTTACTAGAAACACATTTCTAACCTGAAACCTCAAAAGTCACCTGAGTTAACACTGAAAACCTTAACACTAGAAGACAGCTGCTCCCCCCAGCTGCAGTCTCTGAGAGACTTTCAGGCTCCATCATCCTATCCTGCCTATGCCCTCCTTTACAAATTTCACTGAAATCAAACTGTATATCTGTAACATGCTTCACAAGTATTTCATTTCTTGGTGCACGAAATAGTCCCACATGGGTCATGGAAAAGGAGATGCCTCTGGCTAGACAGGTCCTATGGTGGTTTACTACAGCAAAGCTGCAACACTAACTGCCACCAAGGATATGTGTGCCTCCTTGCACTTCTCTTTTGGGATACATTCCTGCAAGCTGGCAAACCTCCCTCTCCCTCTGGACCTGCTGCTGAAGCCTGCATGCCAGGCACAGCTGTGAGGCAGATCAGAGGTGAGGCTGATCAGCCGTGTCTGGAAAATTGGGTTGTGCACTGGGAAAGTTGGAAGTTTTGCAAGTTCATGAGAGGGTGGAGTAACACTGAGAGAGCAAGAGGTGTAAATCATCTCTATAGATCATGCACTGTATGAGTGAAACTGTAGATCAAAAGGAGAAATCTTGGGGTGCTGTACTGCCCTTTAGGCTTGCCTGTGTCCTTGTCTGCCCTCAGGTAGGAGACTTGCAGAAAAAGATCTCTGAGAAGCTTGATGCATAGAGAAGACCCTATGGATGCTAATCCCAGAGCTCATTTTGGATTCCAGCACGTAAAGCAGGGCCCCGAAGCCCCAGCTGCCCTGGGAGGAGCAGCAGTCAGCTGGTGTATGCATGCAAGTCCTAGGAGGCATTCTGCAAGCCTCATGCTGGTTTTGAGTGAGAAATCTGAGAGCACACACTACAGATCTGATATCCTGAACAGCATATCGTCCCCATGTGTTGCCTCAGGTCAGGCTCATGTTTTGAATAGGACTCTTAATATTGTTTGTTCGTGCTGCCAGCTGCCTGTAACACCCTGTCCTAGTGTGCAGCCAGCCTGTAAATGCCTTTCCCTTCAATCTGGCAAAATGGGATAAATCACTGTCCCTTGATAGGTCCATTAAACAAGCCCTAAAAATCATCACTGGACTCTTATATGGAAGATTTTGCAAAGCCAACATGCAGGGATTCAGTTCTGTCCACCAGCCAGGCTGGCATCTGAAATGGAGAAAACAGCAACACAGTGAAAAGAAGATGGTGCCACCCCCAGGGGAAGATGGAGATTGTTTACTGGAAGAATCACAGCCACTGATGGAGTCTTTTTCCCAGGCTCTAGGAGCCACCCTGGCCAAGTTGTGCTGGGGATTGGCTGCTGCCCCCTTTGTATTAATTTCTTCAGCTAAATGGTTTCTTCTGAGTATGTGAATATAATCACTGGAGTGTGTAAAACCCCCAGGTTTGACCCTTGCTGGGCTCAGTGCTTCTTGTGGTATAAATTTCTCAGGCATAACATAAATGTGTAATGGATTAAAGCTTTAATAGTATCCGTTCGGCAGTTGACTTAAGCAGGTGATGACAGGAGGGCCTGGTAATGCTGCTTTTGTTGGATGAAGGATATGCCGGGCATGCTGCTTATGTGTAACCCAATAGCACTATTCTGTTCCGAGTGGTCCTTGGTGGTAATTATTCCCCATCCTACTTCCTTTGTATCCCCCTCATTTGCCTCCAAAATGTCATCCTCCTGCTGAGGATGGGCCGGCACACACTTATCATTCCCTGCTGAGCTTGCTTGCCCTCAATAAATACATTCCAGGCTTATATTCAGGGCCTCTGGCCTAGCTCTCATCCTCTGCATGGAGGGCATCATTCCTGTTCCCCAGCCAGCATAAGTGAGGCCTGGCCTGTTCAGACCCTTCCCAGCAACAACCAGCAGTGCTCCCGTGGAATTTTAAAGATGCAAACACAAAGCGTTGCTCCCTGGCCCTTCTGTGTACGTAGCCAGTGGGGAGCTCTCCCTTTCTGTTGCTAGTAACCCAAAAGGTGTTTGCTGCTGGATCATTTCCAGTTCCTTGAGCACGCTGGGAATCTGCAACATAGCTGGTCTCGCACTGCAAGGTGATGCTTGCAAAGCCTTCTTCCCACTGTGACTCCAGCCCTCCTTATTGCTTAGCTTTCATAGGCAGGCTTGTAGTTGTGTTTCCATGGGAAGGTCTGGCTGGGAGCAGCTGTGTCTCATACACACAGGACAATGCATGGACACCTGAAGGTGTGCATGAGTAAGGGGAGCAAACTGCTTATGACCTTCTTCCATCCAAACATTGGAGCTGCAAAATGTAACTACTTTTGATATGTTAATGCACATTGAGTAAAAAAATCCAGGATGCCAAGGATAGACCTCAGGTTTTTTAAAGAACAGGGAACATAGCCCTTTACTGAGCAAAGCTCACAGGCTTTTGTAAAACAGCTTCAAATTTAGGATTGCTGCATATTGCCAGCAAAATAGCTAAGCAATGAAGAAAAATCATCCAAGCCCCTGGCACTTGGGAACTTTCCAGTATTTCACCCACTGATTTCTTCGCTTTTTGGTCCATGACACGTGATAATTTAGGACTGTCTCATCCAAATTGTCTCCCCCCCTTGTACACTCGTCTAGGCCTGTAACTACCATCTGCTCTTTGGTTCAGTTTACTTGCAGTGTCACAGACTGTACAGTACCACTAAAAATAAACCAGAGCAACTGCCTCATTCATCCACTCTCTTCTTGGTGCACTCTCTGTGCAGCTGTCAATGGCTGGGAAGCATATATGGAAATCTGGAGAAGAGTTAGGTTTGTAATAGTGGAAATGATGACCATGCATAGCAATAAATGCCATGCACAGCATTTCTGGGAGCAAGTCAAACCCCTTGCTCTCTTTGGTATGCATGTTCATCTTTAGATCTGAAATTACTATTCACTGACATGTAAACATAATGTGTGATGACACGAATGAGGTCTGAGCCAGGGAGGCACTGAATATGCCCAAGGGGTGCTGTGTCTCTTTAAGGCTGTGCAGGATTGTATCCAACACCTTTCTTTCCACCTTTGCTTTAGAAACAGAGGTTTAGTGATTTGAAGGCTTGACTTAGGTTTATAGATCATCACCACTGTGCCTCCAGAGCAATAAACTAAACCAGAAATATCTGTCATTAACAATAAAATAGTGATTTATCTACTTGCAGTGAAACTTTACGCTTTGACAAGTCAAGTTATCAATGGGGAGATGCAGTTCTACGCCAGGGCCAAACACTTCTACCGGGAGGTGCCAGCCACAGAAGAGGGCATGATGGGAGACTACATTGAGCTCTCCAATACAGACATTGAGTCCTCCAGGGAGTTTCTCAGGAAGTTTGTTGGGGTGAGTCATTTAATCCCATCTTTTGCAAGAAACAGTGGTGATGTGTCATAAACGACATGCACTCTGCCCAGTCACATATATTTTAAATGGCACCTTATGTCACATTTGATATGCAGTCACAGGCCATAACTGACTGTCACTGAGTCTATTAGTGTGTTCTGCCAGGTCATGCATCATCACAAATACACATTTTGCCTGGCTATATGTAATTATTTGTTTTGCATTCTTTTCTTATGCTTCAAAGATGCAAAGAGGATTGCACAAGGAGTTCTTATAGCTGGTTTTGGATGGGACATTAATTCTCAGAGCAGGACGGGCACCTTTCATGATAAAATATTTGCTGGCTTCCATGGGAGATTTGTCTGTGCAAATTCCTGCT